GCAATATGGAGATTCCTTACGAGGCTGCAAAAGGTGCAAAGAAAGCGATATACATTTAGGGGGTAATTAATTTTGGGTCATCTCCCTCCCCACTTAAAATGAAGAAGTCTATGAAGGCAGATGAATGAATTTTGCAAATTGTTTCTTCTTTTTCACAACGATCTCCAACTGACTATTTGATGGGAATTGCATACAATTTACAATAATTTTTTAAATTAAAAATAAATTATTTTAAAATGTTCCTGTTATAGTCCGGTTCCTTGTATCACGGTGATAGTCGAAGGTAGAACCAATAAAGAAGAACTCGAATACGTATATGGAATAACACAGATATATTACAAACAGGAATATATACAGACTAGTAGAAAGTGTTAGTACGAACAATCAGGTTTAGTAGTAATTGTCTGAACGCGACTCTGTTTCGGACTGCCTCTGACTCGACTCGACTAACTGACTCGCTCACTCTGACTGACTGACAGACTCCTGACGGACTTCTGACGAACCTCACTCCAGACTTCAGACTGAACTATCTGCTTCCTCTTGAGGCGCAGTATTTATTACGTATGGAATAGTCCATCATGTTATTATGGGTAAGGTCCCATAACAGTTCCTTAATAAATCATTTTTATTTGTTTTAAAAAGTCGAAAAAAAATTTCATTTGTTTGCATGTCGTTGAGTTGTCCTCGTGCTGGGTAGGCTGGTATTTAGTTGTCTTTGTGTTGAGTAGACAGGTGTTGAGTTGTCTTCACTATGAGTTGGATGGTGTTGAGTTTTCTTCGCGTTGAGTAGGCTGGTGTTGAGTCGTCTTCGCGCTAAGTAGGCTGCTGTTGAGTTGTATTCGCGTTGAGTAGTTTGGTGCTGAGTTGTATTCGCGATGAGTAGGCTGGTGTTGAGATGTCTTCGCGATGAGTTGGCTGCTGTTGAGTTGTCTTCGCGTTGAGAAGGCTGCTGTTGAGTTGTCTTCGCGTTGAGAAGGCTGCTGTTAAGTTGGAGTAGGCTGGTGTTGAATTGTCTTCGCGATGAGTAGGCTGGTGATTAGCTGATTAAGCGTTGAGTAGTCGATTTTTGAGTTGTCTCCGCGATGAGTAGGCTGGTGTTGAGATGTCTTCGCGATGAGTTGGCTGGTGATGATTTGTTAAAGATTTGAGTAGGCTGGTGATTAGTTGTCTAAGCATCGAGAAGGCGAGTTTTAAGTTGTTTTCGCGATGAGTAGGCTGGTGTTGAGATATCTTCGCGATGAGTTGGCTGGTGATGAGTTGTCTTCGCGATGAGTAGGCTGGTGTTGAGATGTCTTCGCGATGAGTTGGCTGCTGTTGAGTTGTCTTCGCGTTGAGAAGGCTGCTGTTAAGTTGGAGTAGGCTGGTGTTGAATTGTCTTCGCGATGAGTAGGCTGGTGATTAGCTGACTAAGCGTTGAGTAGTTGATTTTTGAGTTGTCTCCGCGATGAGTAGGCTGGTGTTGAGATGTCTTCACGATGAGTTGGCTGGTGATAAGTTGTCTAAGATTTGAGTAGGCTGGTGATTAGTTGTCTAAGCGTTGAGTAGTCGAGTTTTGAGTTGTCTTCGCAGTGAGTTGGCTGGTGATGATTTGTTAAAGATTTGAGTAGGCTGGTGATTAGTTGTCTAAACATCGAGAAGGCGAGTTTTGAGTTGTCTTCGCGATGAGTAGGCTGGTGTTGAGATATCTTCGCGATGAGTTGGCTGGTGATGAGTTGTCTTCGCGATGAGTAGGCTCGTGTTGAATTGTCTTCGCGATGAGTAGGCTGGTGATTAGTTGTCTAAGCGTTGAGTAGTCGAGTTTGAGTTGTCGTCGCGATGAGTAAGCTGGTGTTGAGATGTCTTCGCGATGAGTAGACTGGTGATTAGTTGTCTAAGCGTTGAGTAGGTGAGCTTTGAGTTGTCTTCGCGATGAGTAGGCTGGTGATGAGTTGTCTCAGATTTGAGTAGGCTTGTGTAGTGTTCTCTTCGCGATGAGTAGGCTGGTATTGTGTTGTCTTCGCGATGAGTAAGCTGGTGTTGAGTTGTCTTCGCGATGAGTAGGGTAGTGTTGAATTGTCTTCGCGATGAGTAGGCTGGTGATGAGTTGTCCTGGGGTTTAGTTGCCAGGGAGATTGAATTGAGAATTTAAAGGTATATCGTAAAGGAATTATTAATCCCTCTACATGGCCTGTGACAATCTAACTCCAGGACAACTCAACATAAGTCTACTCATCGCAAGGACAATTTCACGCTGGCCTAGAATTCATAGCTTCAGACCGGTGTTGGCGCGCATAGTGTGCATATCTCTTAGATCGGCTTTGAGTCGAAGACATTTTGAAAGTTTGTCTTAGTGATTATTTAGTTACAACAGACTATTTGGCTGACTGGTGTTTAATTTTCAAGATTGGACAAACAACCATGTTGAAGAAACAAATAGAAGACTATTCCCCTCCCCTTAAATTGAAAAATAAAGGAAGATGAAAGAATCTTTTAAATTGTTTTTTTCTTTTTCACAACGACCACCAACTGAATATTTAAAGTGAATTGCATATAATTTTCAGTTAATAAAAAATAAAGTCATATATTAAAAAATTATCCTTATTAATTTACTTTTATTTGTTTTTAAAAAGTCGAGGGAAATCTGTCATAATTTGCATGTTGTTGAGTTGCTCTCGCGCTGTGTTGGCAGGTAGTGAGCTGTCCTCGAGTTATGTTGTCATTGAGTCGGTGGTGTTGAAGATCGTTGTCGTGCACGCTCTCCAATCCAGCTGTGAAAGCTACTTTAGAGAATAACTGAAGTTCCAGGCTCTCGTCATCTAGATTATTGGAGTTGCACTCATAAACTGTATGTACGCGATCACCTTGTGGTTTATAATGAACTTGTACTCAAATATACATTCAAGGCAATGGGGACTTCTTGAGTGTACAACCGTTCATCACACCTGGAGAAACTCAAGGTCTGATCTGTGACGATAAAACATTACTAGACCAATTTTCATAATTATTCGAACTGCTTGGTTATCCAACGAGATACAGGTAAATAGACAAAACCGATACAGACGTGTTGGGGTCAAATCTCACGGTCATACATCGCCCAATGGGCAAGGATTAATGACTGAAGCTTGAGGCAACCTCAAAATAAACCATCGAGAGAGCATAGCAATTTTTAATCTTAGCTCAATGTACACGAGGAACGTACGCTTTAAACTCGGCTTTGAGCCAAATATCGAATGGACGAACGGATTTATTAATAAAATATCGAAATAATTCCGATTATGGGCACTTCGACGTAGTGTAAATGTTAGCAAGTTTGTCCACATACTTCCAGCCTTGTGTCACGTCTAAGTTACGCTTAATTAATCATCATATATTTGGGCACTTTTACGCGGTGAAAATGTTAGCAAGCTTGGCCGCATACTTCCAGCCTTGTGTCATGTCTAAGTTACGCTTAAATAATGATCACATATTTTAGCAATTTGATGTGGTGTCAAGATTAGCAAGCTTGTCTCCATACTTCCAGCCTTGTGTCACGTCTAAGCTACAATTAAATAATCATCATATATTTGGGCAATTTCCCTGGTGTAAAGTTCAACAAGCTTGTCCACATACTTCCATTCTTGTGTCACGTCTAAGTTACGCTTAAATAATCTTCATATATTTTGGCAATTTGACCTGGTGTAAAGGTTAGCAAGCTTGTCCCCATACTGCCAGTCTTGTGTTACGTCTAAGTTACGCTTAAATAATAATCATATATTTGCGCAATTTGACGTCGTGTAAAGTTTAGCAAGCTTGTCCGCATACTTCCAGCCTTGTGTCACGTCTAAATTACGCTTAAATAATCATCATATATTTGGACAATTCGACGTCGTATAAAGGCTAGCAAGCTTGTCCGCATACTTCCAGCCTTGTGTCACGCCTGAGTTACGCTTAAATAATCATCATATATTTGGGCACTTTCACATGGTGTTAATGGTCGGTAAACTTGTTTCGATAGGTCAATTACGACTGAATAATGACGTCGATTCTCACTGAGTTGTTACCAAGTTGAAAAATACGAACGGTTAACAAAAGCAACAGGAAAAGTTTAAAGTTCGGCGCTTAAGCATAAGTATAGCAAAGGGAAGACGCCATAATAGCAGTAAACATTGGGAAACTGATTTACGTTGTAAAAGGGAAAAGACTTGAACATATAAGGCACCCTAATCAGCTGAAAAAAAAGGTTTACTGATGAAAGGCCTGAAACATTTGAAGAACCTGTAAAAATGCTATATGACGTTTTTCAATGTGACAATAGCACAAGTCATGGAAACTACAAGAACAAATTCAAAAAAAAGAAAGCATTACTAAAGAACTTGAAGTGGATCCAAGACGGAAACGCAACAAAGTCAAGTATGTTGGTAAATTCTTCAGAAAGAGGAGGAGGAGATATTAATACAAAATAAAAAAATTATAAAAAGTATTAATCTCAAAAGGTGGGGATGTTGTGGAGTAAATAGTACACCCCCGTTGACTATATGAACTAGTCCATTAATATAAAGAGCTTCAGGTCAGAGGTATGACTGGTAGGAGTTCAGACTTAGACAGTTCGCAGTCTGGCTCTTCGGGAAGAGGATGATTCATTCTGGGCTCTGTCTACGAATAGAGACTCAGCTGGGAAAATCAGACAAGCAAAATACCCGTTCACCGCAGTTGTGGGCAAGGGGTAAATTTTTGATCTGTTAGTCGAGTGTTCGCGCTCGGGTTCCTCACGTTAAACCTGACCTTGTGTCGCATCCCATCTAAGTGGAGAGTCTTGGGTAAATACCTAACAGCTTCGAGTCAGGCAGTTCGCTGTCTGGCTCCGGACTGACAAGACCTCTTTCTTCGGAAGAGGGTGACTCAGTCGGTGTTCTGTCTACGGACAGAAACTTGGCCGAGAAAAAACAAAAATTGTAACCAATCCTGCAAATGAGGGGCCTGGATAAATTTTGACCAATAGCCAGAGTGGAAAAGGTTGTGTTCCCCACAGAAATCTCGATCTTGTGTCACACCTCAACTCAGTGGGGGTGGGGACTGGGTAAATACCTAACCGTTTCAAGTCAGGCAGTAGAACTGCCTGACTTGCGACTGACAAAACTTCTGTCTTCGGGCAAAGAGAGACTCACTTAAGACTCTGTTTACAGATAGATAGATAGATAGATAGATACTTCTCTGAGTAGAACAAAGAAAGTGCTCGTTCCCCGCGTTTTTAGGGAATGGGTAAATTTTGAACCAGCGGCCCGAGTATACGCGCTCGGGTTCCCCACGTTAAACGTAACTTTGTGCCGCTTCCCGTTTGGGGGCAGTCCAGAGTTCGTTTACTTAGATCGATTCTAGTCTTGCCACGCGCTCGGCGTATTTTTGTCGTCAACAAATTGGATCTCATATTTTTTGTCTTGGAAGAACTGTTATAATGTACGTTAAGTTTATCTCTTATTTTTTTTACTTTTTTTATTTACTGTTTTGTGTGTGCGTGGGTAATTTTCTTTTTCACCTTTTCCAGCCTTTTTTTTTTTGTTGCTAGTGTAATATCTACTTCCAGTTGTCTAATTTTTGTGTGCAATTGTATTTCAATTTTCAGTTTCTTTTATTTTTCAGCCCCTATCCGTAAACTTAATTTTTGTTTTTATTTTTTCGTATATCTTCTCTTTTTACTCAATCCCTTTTTTTTCATGATCTACGTGTTACTTCTTTTTGTGACCTAAAGTTTGTTTTTTTAACTCATCTCCACCCAGCTGAAAGCCAAGTTTAATTTCTTCTTATTTTCTTTTTGTGTTAGTCTACCATTTTGTTTAATTAGTATTTTTTCATGTGTCTTTACTTTTATAATTTTTTTTGTAGTATTTATTTCATAACTTGTTTATTTTACTGATTTCATTTTTTATGGGGGTAACCATTTTTAGTTGTGTTTTTTCAATAAAATTATTCTTTTTTTCTCGTCAAACATTTTCTTTTTTTACCTGTCATTTTATCTCTTTTTCATTGTTAAATTTGTTTTCCTTTTCGAGAAGGACTTTGTTTTAATTTGTGCAATGTTTTTTAATGTCAAAACCCCTTTGTTGAATCAGCTAGGGATTGGTCTTTTTGTTTCATTGTCTTTGTAAATTTGTTTTCCATTGTTCTGTATCTGTTTAATATTTTCTGTTATTTATTTATTTTTAGAAAAATTCCCTGTTTTTCTTTTACAAAAAGGGGGAAAAGTAATTTAAAGTAAACAAAATGGACGATAAACATCGGTCAATTTAAAAAAAAAACTGTTCGGTACGAAAAATAAAGATCCTACTGATAAAAACACTCAATCAACAGTGACTACTGAAAACGTAGCCATTGCCAAAAAATGACGGCCAAATAGATTCAAGGGAAAATATGGAAGCCAAGAGTAGCCAAAATCAATAAAAGCTGTTGCCAACTGACTCCAGTAACACCAACAGCAAAAGCAAAGATGAAAATTTAGTGACCAGAGAGACACCCATTTGCTGGAAGTCCCAACCGAAATGCATAATTAACATGACGGAGTTCCTGGAAAAGGCCAAGAACTACGAATACCTTATCAAAGAAAATGGGCTTTTGGTAGACCTTCAAGAATTACAAAAGGCTGAAAAAGAATTGTGTCAGTCAGTCTTTGTAGTAGACAAGCGTTAGTGCAAAATTTGTCGGCCCACAAAAGACACCGTGATAAAATCATTAACGTCTCTGGGGGTTAAAACCTAAAGAGTCAAAAGAGGCGATGGTTATTTCATGTGTGACGTGTTGTTACACAAGCCTGCCGACTATGAAGACGCTTCCAGTCGAGTTCTTATCACAACAAAATTTGTCAGTATACGAGGTCCCTGCTCAGGTCCTAGGGGAGCACGTGTCCGCTTATATGGCTCAATTTGGGAAGATACTAGGCGCTTCCTCCGACAACCTGAATGTGGGGGAGGAGTTTCGAATTATGATTAACTGTAAAGCATAATAATAATTAATAAGCGTAACATCACCATCTCCAGTAACAAAACCAATAACTCCCCGCTTCCAAGATGACCACTTTCAAAAAGGGTCCTTCTACTAAATCACCAGCAAAAAAAAAGACCACCCCTTCAATCAATCCTAATACATCCCCTGCACATAATTCTTTCGAAAAGAAAACGGATCAACAAAAAAGGCAGTGAAGCCCTTCATTTGTCACCACAGAACCTTCTTCTTATTAATTGAAAAGGAAGACGGTGCCGAGGAAGAGGGATCCAACTTTCGCACTGCTCACTCTTGAATTCTCCGTGTTTTTAAGGATTCCTTTCGTTTTTCTAGTTTCCATTTCTATTAAAAACTTGGCTCATACTTGAGATGCTGATTCCTGATTGCTTCTGCGTCTCTGGCCAGATCTTCGCCCTTGCAGCATGTAGATGGAGTGGGACTGCACGAGCCCTTACCCGTAGGTCTTCCAGGGACTGAGGTCCCGCTGTCCAGAACTTCCCTCTGTTCTTTCCAACAACAAGCGATTCCTCTTTTTCCTATTCAGCGTCCGTACAGGCGGCTGGCAAAGGCTTTTTTCGACTCAACCGGGATGTTCACCACACCGGTCCCAATTGTTGGCATGCTTGTCACAGACGAGACAGAAATAACAGACTCGACTATAGGGATTTAGCTGTGCAGGAACCAGAACTTCAGAGGGCTTCTTCTAAGGGTAGTGAGAGGAGAGGTAACCAATCTCTCCACAGTTACAACAGGTTGGTTTACGGCCGGTCACAATGAAACCAATTTTTAACATTGGGGAAGATGTGTGCCGAGTTTCGAGTTCTAGTTAAGAGAGTCAATGTAGGGCTCTTAGGTTGTCCAAGTTTCCATTCTATAGTTTACTCGGATCATAGGCTCGTCCGGGTTCGTGTAAACTTAGATAAGCCTAAGGTTAGGCTGGCTGCCAACTGGAAATTGAACGAAACATTATTTGTTGTTAGAGATTTCTAAGACCAGCGGCAACTAATGTTACAGTGGGAATTGACGAGGGCTGTAGTTGGGAATAAGTGGTGGCATATATTAAACTCCAAAGTTCGTTTGCTGTTGTTTATAGTCGCCGACTCGGTTTAGTTAGATTAGCAGCTCAAACGGCATGTGAAGCGAAAATTGATCGGGCGATTAAATCCCCTGATAGTTGTGACGAAAGACATGACTTACCTCAGAATTCGAAACGAGCGCGAACGTGTTTTGCCTGCAAAGTGATGACAAAAAGAAATATGGCCGCTATTGAAGACGTAGTTTATGCGCGCCTATCTCGTCCAAGACGAGACGATATTTGCACACATGCAAATTTTGGCCGTCTTGGAATAGCATAAAAAACGGGGTGCCAGAAGCACGGGTAGAAAAAGTCATTCTGCGGACTGCGTGTGTAAGAGTTGGACGTACGAATTGGCAGACAGACAAAGAGGAAGTCGAAGTAGGCGCAGTTGAGTTGGTGTCTGTTTCACAACTGCCCAGTGTAATGGCTGATAAGGGGAGTCACGCAATCCATTTCCTTGAGGCGACCAAAGAAGAAAAAAATAGCTGGCCTGCCCGCGAGCGGTGCACTGCAATTTTTGACCCCTCATCATCATTTTTTTCCATGCAATAGTGGGAAAGTAGACTTAACTAGGGGAGCTCAGCTTTGGTGGTGCATTCTAGCTCCCTCGACAGAGTTCTAGTTAAGAGAGTCGATGTAGGGCTCTTAGTTTGTCCAAGTTTCCATTCTATAGTTTAATCGGATTATAGGCTAATCCGGGTTCGTATAAACTTAGGTAAGCGTAAGGTTAGGATGGCTGCTCACTGGAAATTGAATGTATCATTATTTAGTGAGTGAGATTTACAGGACCAACTGCCACTACATCGGGAATTGACAGAAGCAATGGTTGAGAATAAAATCCGAAGTTGGGTCGCTTGCTGCTGATTATAGTCACCGATTCAATCTAGATAGATTAGCAGCGCAAATGGCATGTGAAGCGGAAATTGATTAGGCGATCAAATCCAGTGATAGTGGGAAAGTAGCCTTAGCTAGGGTGGGGCTAGTTTCCTTGATCAAACTCTTGTGGTTAGGGATAGGTTAGAAAGAATGTCTTCCGAGGAAATGAACATGGCTGCTGAAATGCGTGCAGAGGGAGAGTTAGAAATGTGTCCAGTTGACATACCGCGAGCATCACATTGGAAGAGAAGCGGAGACCGTGACGACAAACGAGGGCATTAGTGAGACTACTTTCAGGATCTGTTTACCAGGAATCACAGTCTGAGTCCTGCTCAATTCGAGGCCTATTTGGCAGACTTTCCTCGCGTCGAGGCGGCGAAATCGCCTGGGTGGGGAGAGCCCCATCATAGAGTCTGTGATCTGGGAAGAGCTAAAACTGGCTGACCGGGACAGAACTCCGAGATTAAATGGTCTTCATTACGAATTGTACTTGAGACAGCCACCCGTTCTTGTTCCTTTGCTGAAACTGATTTACAACAACTCGATGAAGCAGGGGTCTATACCCCAACGCCTCACCAGGGTTGTGACCAAGTTACTACGTAAAGACAAGAACGGTGGGGATGCGATAGGTAACTTTAGGTTTTTGACGATGTTAACTACTGAACTGAAGATTTTAACGAAGATCTTAACTAGCCGTTTGCAGGCTGTCCTGTCTAGTATTATTGGCTCCGAATAGACTTGTAATGTGAAAGGCAGGCCTATTCTGGACAACCTTCATTTGATACGACTGATCATCGAGCAAGTCGACATTAAAGCCGTGCTGATCAATTTAGATCAATCCAAGGCATTCGATAGGGTTGACTATCAATTTCTAGAGGCTGTCCTTTCAGCTGCCGATTTCAAGCCGTACTTTCACACCTGGATACGACTTCTGTATGCGTACCCCGGTGCGCTGGTAGAAGTGAATGGAGTAAGATCGGAACCTTTCATATTCTCTCGCTCCATTCGTCATGGATGTCCCCTTTTCACCCTTTCTTTACGTTTTTGCTTTGGAGCGTTTCCTTCGCAAGTTAAAAGCGAATCCTGTCCTACGCGGAATTTCCCTTTCTTGTGCTACCACCACGGCTAAGTACTCTGCCTATGTTGATGACTTTTCGGTTCTTGTGTCAAGCAGGTCCGAGATTGACAAAGTCAGCAAAGAGATCAAAGGGTACGAGACGGTGACAGGAGCAAAGATCAACCGCAATAAATCTGCTGGCTTGCGTTTGGGCGCGTAGAAGGAAGTTTCTCTTCCCAGACATTTCACTGGATGGACGGTGCGGTCAAGATACTTGGCGTCTGTTTCGGTTACAATCTCTTGCTGAAAATGAATTGGTCGCAGGTGCAGGAGAAGGTCGAGGGTGTAGTTCGTCTATGGTCTAGGCGGAATCTTTCCTAAAAGGGGAAGGTGGAAGTATGTGTTTCGCATATCTACCCAATTCTCCTTTACCAACTATCCGTGCTTCTATTCCCTAATATGCAATACTAATGCAATTAGTTAGGGTTTTGTTCTCCTTCTTGTGGGAAGGCAAGGGTCCATATGGCTTGGGCACCAGGGTTGAAATACCCCACTAACAATGAGGCATCACTCACTTGGCTGATGATGAGAAAGGCCCTCTGACTTTCTTCAGGCTCCCAATTGCGTCCGCTGCGGTGAGTCGGTAGAGATCCCGGTTCATGCCTTCTTCCACTGCAAGTTCATAGTTCTGTTGGGCAAGTTTATTGAAGACATCATGGCTGAGGCTAGTTCTGTTTGTAGTAATGTGGTAACGTCGTTGGCTAAAAGGTTGAACACTATGCGTTCTTGTGTTTGCTAGGCGTTATGCGAATCGTGATATGGGCAATGCGACAGAAGGAATTCTATGGAGACGAAAAGTTTTCCTCTTCCCAACTGATCTTGTTCTTTAGGCATCAGCTTAAAGTCAAAATCAGGACAGAAAGACGACGATACCCTCGATCAGAATTTGGTAAAAGGTGAGTGAGTCTTATGCGTCTGTGTCACGTAAAAGGAGCTGACTTAGACTGGCATTTTGATGACATCTGGATTTTGAGAGTCCTGTAATAAACATTAGCAACCCCCGCCCAAAATAGTTTAGGCTTGTTTTTTTAGTTTTCTTTACACCAAGTTAACTTCACTAGGGATTGTATTCTTATTGGCCCCTTTTATTTATGCGCCTAAATTCTTTAGTTTAATTCCCCATTCTCTCCCCCATTAGGTGACCAGCCTTATGGTGGATGTGGGACACTTTTCGGTTTTCTAGTGTGTTCTTTCGTATTTGTTGTCGTGTTTGAATGAGTTTGTAGTTGTGTATGTGTGGTTGGTCGAATGATTGGTTTTTAATTCATTAACTCCCACATTAATTTCGTCCAGTTAACTGATATTTCTGCCACATTAAGGATTGTGATTTTTTTTTATTACTAACACCATTTTTACTTTTTATATATATAGTATTATGCATATTGTAAATATTAATTGAGATTTTCAGTTTTAAATGTTGTTATTCTTACCCACAGACAAATTGTATATATGGGGATTAATTCGATGCTGATTCTCAGACCAAGATCTCCGAGCCCCCAGAAATCACTTGCTTATATGCACTTCGGCCCAAAACAGGAGTGAGGCTGAAGGGTTCTGTGAATTCGGTGATTCCCCCATCTTCACATTAATCTCAATAAAACATTTCTTTGTTCCCTAATTCTGCTTTTTAATCAACTTTCCAAATTTGAATAATTAGCCACCTTCTTGGGAGTAGTCACAGGGATTTTCATCCCCTAATTCCAACCTGCTTCACTTCACATCTCGCACCACTACTCCACACAAGCGGTGCTAGATTCTGCCTCTTCTTCATTCCTTCTTTACATTCTAACTTTTCCCACCACTCAGGGATGGCATAACTGTCTTTGGAACAAATATAATTTTTAAAATGCGTAGGCGAAAGGGCGTAATTTATTCTCATTATTAATTTCAATTTTCTGACTCCCTTTCACTTCCCTAGCGAGAACACAAACCAGACACTACGTTCTCATTTAACCGCCCGAGCAATAGATAAAATTATTTCCCAATTTGTTTTCGTCAATGAAAATATATTTGTTCTCTTTTTTTGAGAATTTAAGTAATTCTCAAAAAAGAGACAAGTTGTTCTTCACCCTTGGGCCGATCGCTGTCTTAGCGAAAACATAAACCAGACAACCTGCCTGTCACGACAGGATCGATTTTCATAATCCTAACCCTCACAGCGTGTTCATTCCCTGTTTTCATTTCTCAATTCATTTTCGCCAACGAAAATATAATTCTCGTCTGTCTCTCTTCTCGTCGTTTTTCTAATTTCCCAATTTGCTTTACCCGCATACCAGATTTTTGATAGATAAAAATGTAAACTCTTGGTGCATCGTTCCAATTCGTAGGGTGTGGGGAGACAACCAAAATGGCACTTTTTCACTTCCGCATTACTAGGGAAATGTCTTCCTCTCTCTCTCTCTCTTTCTCTCTCTCTTTCTCTCTCTCAATCTCTATCTATCTATCTATCTTCCAGCTTATATTTCATTCCGAGCTTAAACCCTTTTCTGCCCAGAATCAATACTTAACCATCTCACAGCCTCAGTTTCACAGAGTAGCCGAAACATTACGTATAGAGAATGCTTATACGAAGTACGTTATATAAGAGTGAGTTATAACAATAGCCACAGAATAGTGGTGTTATCACAATGTTTCGGCTTTCTGGAATGAGGTGTTATCATTATTAACATTCGGATTAATATCCTCATCTTTGTTGTTGCTATCATAACCTTTCGCCGATGTGTCTTCAGACCTTCTTCAAGCGTCTGTCGATCCAGGTATTCTTCAGGGAAATTCGAACTTTATTTTTGATATAATGGAATATGCGTACACCTGTGTTCCCCGTCACTGGAATATGATTGGCCGGTATCCGTCATAAATGCCGACGGACGTGTACGACAGAGTCAAGAGCCTTAGTCTGAGAGCTAAGTCTATAACGACGCCCATTGGACTAAGCCATTGATCTACACTTCTTACCTGCGACTACAACGCGTAGCAGTCGATTAGTGCTACCGTATTCTACTTGGTTATAGTAGCCAAAACCACTTAGCTACTTCGTTCCGTCAATATCGGATTTCTTCCATCAACCGTTGGCTGCAGTGACTTCTACAGTTGTCAAAAAAGTTCGGTTGAATGTCCACATTGTGACTGATCTCAAATCTGCTGCAGGGGCTGTGGCCGCTTTGATGGTTATATAATGAGGGCGATGACAGCTCTTTTCAATTTTAAGAAATCATTTATACAAGGAAATATTAGAAAAAAATACAAGCTTAAAAAAACCGCGGGAGTGATGATCGATTATATTCATAGTTGCTCACTCTGGGTGTCTAATTGTTCATGGGTTTAGGAAATAACCTAATCAGTTCTTAGGTACCTTCTGATTCAAATCTAAGTGATAAATCTTTCTCGGAGTTCTTCTCTGGACTATTCTGGAGTCTACTGATCTATTCTGCCCGAACTGAAGTTCTACACTGCTCAACCCGCAGCCCTGTTCTCATTGAAAGCCTCAAAATGCCTGTTTTAAATAATACTTCGCCCAAAACCGGGTGGGGGTTTGACTGGCATAGATACATCAACTATTCCTTTGTCTCAAATGAGATTTTCCAATTTGGGGCAATTATCCAGCCCCTTAGTGGCAGTTAGAGGGTTAATCCAACCATCAAACTCCAAATTCTTCGGCATCTCTGACTTCCACTTATAGCTGCAACCTCCTCTTCTTCCTTAGAAACAAATTGTTACTACTCTCTTAGAGGTGTCACTTGATCCGGTTGACCAACCCCTTTCTAGGGACCGTAACAAGGGGCAGTCTGAACCTTAACCTAAAGGCTAACCATCTCAACTATAATAAAAGGCTCTTCACCAACTTTAAATTTTAGGTGAATTCAATTTATGGAAAAGATCACTGAGGGTAATTCAGTTCTCCCGTCGTTTGCGATGACTGAAATAGATTAAATTGCTTGCTTTCGTCCAGTCCTCCGGTCTACCAATTGAGCTGTTGCTAGTGACCTCCTATTCTCTTGTTCTCGTTAGTACGTACGCCGTTACGCCAACAATGCGTTCTGTTCTCTCTCATGTGAGGAACACAGACTCGCTATTTATTCCCGCATCGAAGGCAACTAACATTTGCATACGAGACTTACTTCTCGTTCGCCCGAGACTTCCGATCTTATAAATTTACGCTGGCTTAAGTTTTTAGTCTTTTTTATTTTTATTTTTCGTTTTTAACGCCGGTCGCGGTTTTTCAACAAGACCTGACATGCCATGGAAATTCGCCTTGCGGGAGGTACGTTTTCTCGTTCCTCACAATCACCGCTTGAAAAAAAAAAATTTATTATCCGGTTTCTGCTGGACACCGCCAAAAGCATCAAGTAATGACTGTATGGATTTATTTTATGAAGAAATCAAATCTTCAGAAAAAAAGATAAAAAAAATACTTAATTCTTTTTTCTTTCAGGTCACATTCGACGCTTCCTTTAAAGTATTATCTTCAAATGAAAAATTATTATCCAAATCAGCGGTCTGTTTTAAGCATGAGTGAAACATGCTTTCCATCAATGTCGACCCTCGAAATTGCTTCATAAAAAAAACGACTCTCTGACCGGACAGCGATTACTTTCGACATAGTTTTAATATCCACTTAGAAATCTACATACGTTGCCCATATCCATTACAATTTTATCTCGACCAGTGGGTTTAAGTGTATCCAGGCCGGAACACTACAGTCAAGATTTAAATGTTATCTCAACCTGAGATAAGTGTTTTCTAGGTCAGCCCATCCAACTGTCGCCAGTAATGTCACAATTTAATCTACAGGGAAAAAAAACGTTCCGTTATCTATATCTTGGGATATTTTTTATTGTTATTATCACAATGTTTTGGTCACTGGGTTCTCCGGCCATTTCCAGGTGTTTATCAATCCTGGTTATCTTCAAAAAAATTTGAACTGAACCCTTTATTTAATCAACGGAGATAGAGTGTTCTCATTCCATATCCAAGGATATCTCGTCTTGTACACTTTTTGGTACCGTTCAGTTATTGTTAGCCTTTGTCTTGAATCTATACTAACAAGTCTAGGGATTGAACTCGCAATTTATATGCCACCAAATTCATGAACTATCTCTTATATTACGTATAAGTAATCAGAAGGTGATTAACAGTAAAAGGATTGATGCAAATACATAAGTTTGTCTTGTTCTTTTTTCTATATAACGTGTCCCTTCAGGACGTGGGAAATAATGACTCTCCACAATTTGTTCCTTCTCCTTAGTAATGTTTCTGTTTTCTCGATCCTTAGTAATGTTACTGCACATGGCTCTCCACAGTTTCCTCTCCTGTGTAGCTCTTAGTAAAGTTTATCCTTTTGCTATTTCTTCCAATCCCACAAGCTTGTTCCTTTTTCTTTTTCTATACGCCGTGTCCCTTCAGGACGTAGGGGATCATGACTCTCTACAATTTCCACACTATTGTAACTCTTAGTAAAATTTGTCCTTTTGTTATCGTTCCTAATCCCTGTTCTACTAACCATTTACAATCTCCTTCTTCTTTTTGTTTATTATTATTATTATTATTATTATTATTCTATGTGCCGTGTCCCTTCAGAACGTGGAGACCTTTGCTCTTAACAATTTTCCCTCCTCTTAGTAAAATCTTTCCTTTTGTTATCTCTCCTAATCCCTGTTCTGCTATTTACACAAGATCGTTATTCTTCTTCTATGTGCCGTGTACCTTCAGGACGTTGATGATCATGGCTCTCCACGATTTCCTCTCCTTTTTAGCGCTTAGTAAATTTTATCTTCTTGCTATCTCTCCGAATCCCTGTTTTGCCAATCATTTACCCTCCGTTCTTTTCCTTTTTCTATATGTCGTGTTCCTTCAAGACGAGGGTGGTCATTGCTCTCCACAATTTCCTCTTCTTTGTAGCTCTTAGTATCCCTTCAGGGCGATTTTGACTCTCTCCAATTTCCTGTCCTTATCTTTTCTGGTTCTTAGTAAATTTTGTCCCTTTCCTATCTCCGCTAATCCTGTTCTGTTAACCATTTACACATGTTCATTAGGTATGTAATGCGCTGCTTTCTCCTGTCTCTCCTGTGAGTGCCAAATTTTCAAGCCCTCTTTCCTCATTATGCATGCTACTCATTTCAACTGCCTCTTTCTCATGTTAAGAATAAATGTCCTTTTTGTTCCGATTTTCTCTAAAATTTCGTAGTTGTTTCATGTTGTGGTAAACCCTCCTACAGTAGAATGAACTCTTCCTCCTCTCATAAATACTAACTAACTACGTGACTTCCTAGGGTAGAGTCGTAGGGTACCGTAGACGCAATGTTAACCTACCGTTCGGACATACACACCTCTATCTGCTTATTACTAACACTCTTGCTTTGTATATGTCTGTTATTTCAATACACTTGTTCAACCTACGTTTTGTCTTCCGTGTATTTCTTTCTGGCCTCTAAAAAGGCCACAATATTTCATGGTATTCTAAGCATCTTTCTGTAGAACCATGTTTGTGTTACCTCAAATCTTCTTCTCTTGTGGTGAGATTGTCCAGCATTCACTATAAATAATGCACCTAATTTTAGTTAAGTGATTTCAGCATCCGCTGATTTTTCTCAATACCACCGGGGATACCGAAGGATGAGCTATAAATTACTCGCATTGGCACCTTATATCTGTTATAGTAGAACACACCTATTCTATAGTTAATAGACTCTCCCACCTATAATAAGTAAGAGTAGGCAGTCGGTCAGTGAGGGAGTCGGTCGATGTCGGTCGACAGTTAGTCGAATACTAAAGTATCAGCGACCACAACTAGAATACTCTGCGTTATACCTATTATATCAAGTTCCTAACGTTTTGTACGTCGAACCTATTTTAGGACCGACTTAGTACCAATACAAGCCTCCACTGTGAAATCACTCCACAACAATATCCTTCTAGTCCCCAGCGATGATGCCCAACATAGTGCCAAAGTAGAAGGACTTTGTAATTGTAAGGTGAATGACGTTTCTCTAGCCCGGATAGTTTTTTTGAAAAGATATATTACACACACACACACACACACATATATATATATATATATATATATATATATATATATATAGATGTATATATATATATATATAGTTTTATATATCCATATGTTCTTTGATATATATATATATATATATATATATATATATATATATATATAGTTGTATATTTAGGCAGCAATCCTTCCTTTATGCATGTTTCATTCAAAACGACAGACAAGGTACTACAGTTAAGCTTTTTATTTAATTTTTCTTGTGTTTCTAACAAGAGCTTTCTTTTCTGGACAAAGGGTGTGTAAGAACTGTCCAAATGTTTTATATTTCCGAGCGCTTTCGGCTACACCTTTAGCCATTATCAAGGATGATTCGATTTTTCAGCTTAATTGAGTGCGTGCGTACTGTTTTCGTGCATATATGTACGTGTGTATGTGTGTGTATGTGCGTGTATGGTTGTATGTTGGTACATGTGTG